AAGCATCAGAGTAAAAAATCTTTCCTACATATAGGAAATATTTCACTTCCAAAAATAACTAAGCAGATACACAAATGATAAAACTTAGTTCCCAATACCCATACACAAGAGATATGAACAACCTTGTTATTTTGGCATGAGTCATAACAATCAACGAACCAAGAATAACAAGCAAAAAGCATAAATTTAACGGAATCTGCGGAAAACTGTGGTGTTCTTTCTCTTCCAGTTCTTTGCTTGAGATCCTCCGCGAGTGGCAGAGTACCGCCATCCTTTTCCAAGACCTCGCGACTTCTTTCCGGCCGAAGTAAGTCCACGCAATTCGCGGTGCTTCTGTACAGGCTTGGTAATCCATTGAGTGTCCGGGTTGCGACGGATAGCTTTGTGGAAGGGATCGATGAGGATAACTTCGTAAAACTTGTAAGTGGAGTCTTCTCCAACCCAGTATGAGTTCAACACCCGCAGGGATCCGAGACGACGACCGGCACGGTCCTAAAAACTATTGGACGTTTGCTAGATAGAACTAATGGCAAGTAACAATCAAACAATGAAGTTTAATAATAAGAAACGATAGACGAAATTAAGTCTCCGCCTAAAAGAAGTATTGAGTACATATCGAATGATGTTGTGCTTCAACAACTATTTAGAAAAACTGATTTTCAAGAATAAAAGAGTGGAAAAACAATAAGGCCGTCAAGTTAAAGCTATGTCGAAACAATTTCCACAACTGCAAAAAATACCTTAATTTACTCCCACAATCAACAGAAAGCTGTGACTCAAACGATATTCTCTGAATAATTAGAAAAAGAAACGTAGGAAGAGAGTAAGACTATATTAGAAAGCCAATACCAAACAGAGCAAATCTTCTTAAAAAACAAGAATTTTTCGAATTAGTAACTTGTGTGAAGTGGATGCATTTTAGAAGCGCATCTATCTGAAGATATTAGCCTCTCCATTATCACAAAACTTTTGCCTAAACAGTTTTGTAACAGAACATTTGATAGCATGGTACCAATTTCGGAACCCCTTACTTATAATCCATTTCACTCTAACGAATGCATGAGCGAATTAATCTTTAGTTTCATGCGAAGCTGCACTAGATGGTGATAAAATTAGGTAGACTGTCATGAATGATTAACAAAAGTACGATAAGACCTTGTGAATCATTGTTAACAAAGAGACAGC